AGCCTGTAGGGTACGTACGATCCCGTTTATCGCTGATAGGGTCCTGTCCCAGCCCAGGGTACTTATCGGAGGCGGTACCTGCGGTAGGCAATTCATATAATTATCGGAAGTTTACATCGGGAAGGTTACTTACGTCACAGTATAGCGATATGTTCGCTGCGTACCTGCATTGTCCCACCGATACGCTACGTTATTGCCCATTGACTCTTGACGTGTTTGTACGCTCCATTTCGGCACCAGCTGCGATGGCGTATATTCATCCTCGCACTTGACTGCTATTCTATCAGCGCAGACTATCACGCAGACTTGATGCCTGTGCGGCTAGGCTGCGAAGCCCCGTTTTTGCATATTTTCATGTGTGCCCGCCAATTCTTTATGGACATTTCCCTCCCTATACCTTAATTTACGGGAGGAATGATTCCCCCTCTCTTTTTAGGACACACCTCCTTGACCTTGACTTCGGTGGACCCCAGCTTTCGGGACATTCCCAATACTGCGCTTTTTGAGATTTCGCACCCCCATCACCCATAACGTTCTTCGTAATATACACGTTGACTGACATTATCGCTCTTGTAAGCGGTTTAAGATTTGTGCCCACTTGTTACGAGCGTCACGACCGAAAAGATTTTAAAATACAAATTCTAATACATGCTTTCGTGTGGCGCCAGCTCTTGCTTCATTCTCACGGAGTCAAACGGATTTCATTTGCTGGCGAGACGGCCCAACGGTCTCATTGCGATTTCTTAAATGATGAGCTAAATGTAATATAGTCATTACATAGCATCGTATTATCTTAATTGTATTTGCACTGATGTTTTTTAGAGGTTTCTGCTATGTGAGTGTGGTAACTTGAGCTGGAGGGTTTCTATGTCCCCCAGGGTACTGCCGGAACGTACTCCCTGGAAAGCGCTTATTTAAATATAAATATATCAGAGTTGAGTATTCTATATGCCGGATCTCGACACTCTCGTCACTACTCCACTTAACGTATGTCTATGGGGACGGTTGCCTCACGATGCACATGTTTAGGCGGTTCACTCCTGGTTATACAGAGAGTTTGCATCGCTCATTGCGTCAGTCACGAATTACACCCGTATCGGTTTCGGCTGGTTCGGGCGCTGGACCGGACATGGTTTGTTTTCCAAAATAGAATACGCACGGCTATGGGGCCCGCCTAGTGTAAGAAAGCTGTACAACTTTAACTTACTCACATGAGTTCCCTCTTGTTCTAGTTTATGGCAGTCGTTAATTTAACTATGGTCGCACGATTTGTCGAGTTACATTTCATCTCAGCAATCTTACGATAAACATTATAGAGCAGCATGTCTTACGCGTGATATCGGTGCTGCGGTAAATTTTTTTTGATGTTTGTTTTTGAAGCACAGTTAGTCTAATTAATATGTACATTCATGTGAACATTGGGATTACAGCGGTTCCCCAATCGCATATATCATTTAAATGCCTCGTAACAGCTTTAAGCCTTGGGCACAGCGAAGCACTCTTAACCTCGATCCGGAATGTGTAATTTCTGTATCGTGTATTTTTTGATAAGCGGGGTTATAGAAAGATGTAGGATTGGTACATTTGGGACAACATTGGAGGATGGGTTACAGGTGGCAGCTCTCTATTTCAGCCTGTAGGCCTGCGTAGGTAAATGGATGAGTGCTTACCTATTCTGTCTTGCAAATAGTTGTTGCTACTACGTACGATGGGAGCTTCCATCTTTAATCGTTCTGGGCTTACCTATTTGCCAATTCTTACTTATAACATGTTTCTTAAAGTTGTGCAATAATGGCTTTAACATTTCTAAGCTTTGGTCTGGTTATTTCAGCACCTTCACATACAATATGGTTCAGCTAGGGATGCCCAAAGCACTCTGTTTAGACTTTCTGCGCAAGCAAAGTACCATTTGCAACTTAACCACAGGTAAGTCAAATACATACAATTGAACCCTTGATTTATGCGAAAGCAACATAAAATCAATTCTTTAATGCAAATCAATATTTATAATACTCAATGCACATACAAAATATATGAGTTTATTTCATTGTTATACAATTTTGTTATTGTAGAGCAAGTGGAATTGCTTCAGGAGAATTTGGAGAGAATTTCATGATCAGCAAGCATTGTCTTGCAATGCTGATAGTCAGATCTCACGGGTAACAGTGCAATCAACGGACCAAGATGTGACACTGACATGTGAAGGATTGCCATCCTATTCTGAGTTGTGCCATTTGGAATTTGAATACACCAATATATTGAACTGATATTAGTATTGAATCACTGTTAATCTTGATTTTTTTTTAATGAAATGTTAAACTTGTTTGCAGAGTTAAACTAATCATCTAATATATTTGTCTTATAGTATAAAAAATTATTTTTGGCAAAATCAGTTATCCAAGTGTTTTGTGAAGAGGTGGCATAATATATATTTATTGTTAAGAGTCATTTTGATTGTTTTCTTAATATATTTTTTAATAGAGAGATGTGATAAAGTAAGTTTATATGTTTATGGTGGAAGCCATACAGCAACCAGAGCAATAAAATTGTACAGCTGGTTATGCACATTAGCTATGATAAATTGTAGAGTTTGAAAAGTTGACTGTGTATAGTCGCAGTGGCATAGGATCAAGTATATGTAGATGGGTAAATAGGGTTCATATAAAAAAATTACTGGGCACTACTAAGAATTAATTGTGTGCGCGCATTAGTTTCTGTTTTGAAAAGATGGCGTATGTCATTGTCAGTGAAGTCAGGTTGTGTCTATCTTATATCGAAATATACAATTTCCTGTAAATGCCGTCCAAATGCTAATCTGCAACACACGCTGGCTGCCGCACGCTAGCTGCTGCACACTGACGCATAAATATATAGTGTATATTTATTGTATCCCCCGCGACGAAGTCGGCGGGGATACCATGGTTTCATGTCTGTCCAGCCGCCACCGCCGCAGACACTTTCCCTTCCGCTCTATAACTCGACCCCTAATTGACCTAGCATGACCAAACATGGTCTACTTACACATCTTGGGGAGAAGGTGCGCAGCGTACCAAAACCAGGTCACTACGACCTTTATTTGACCTTTACCTTGACCTTGATCATATTTCCCTCTCGGCCCCTAATTGACCTAGCGTGACCACTTGGTATACTTACACATCTTGGGGAGAAAGGCTTTTCCTACCATGATGCTATACACCGACTATCACGAGCCTAGGTCGAGCCGTTTAGATTTGTGCCGCAATTCTGCATTTCCTCCCTATACCTTAATTTAAGGAGGGAATGTTCCCCCTTCTTTTACACCTCTTGACCTTTGACCTTTGACCCCCAGCTTTGACATCCCAACTCGTTTTGACGATCCCCCCCAACGTCTCGAATATCGTGACCGTACGTCGAGCGGTTAAGATTTGTGCCCAACTGTTGACAGACGAACGGACGGACGGACGGACGCACGCTCATGCGATTCTACAGATGAGCTAAAAATATAGTCAAACCTAGCATGCATTTTTATTGGATTGCGATGTTTTGAGGTTTCTGCTATGTGATGTGGTAACTTGAGCTGAGAGGGTCTATGTCCCCCAGGGTACTGCCGGAACGTACCCTGGTACTACGGTATCTAATATGCCGGACCGCACCTCGCCTACTCCACTAACGAGTCTAGGGAGTTGCCTAGGGTCCCTGTATACAGAGAGTTGCGCCATGACGAGTCGAAAAACTATCGGTCACGTGGTCGCTGGACGACATGTTGTTTCCAAATAGATACGCACGGCTATGGGCGGTAAGAAAGTGTACAATTAAACTACCATATGGCGTGAACGATTTGAGTTACATTTCTAGAAATCTAGATACACATATAGACACATGTCTTAGCTATAATCTCTGTAAATTTTGAGTTTTTTGAAGCACAATTAGTCTAATTAATTACTACAGACCATTGTACAGCGTATCCATACAATGCTGTACTTAAGCGGCAGCGGTGTGGATACATTTGGAAACAACATGGAGTCAAATCCTGAGTTGGCGCAACTCTCTGTATATAGGGACCCTAGAGTCGCCTACGCCTACTCCCTAACCCTATCAGATAGTTACCACGTTCCGGCAGTACCCTGTGGGACATAGACACTATGAGTATGAGCGTAACTTGACAGAATGTATGTATTAGTACTATTACGACATCAGTTGGCTGAAAGTCAGGGTACGGTGGGACAATGCAGGGTACGCAGCGACATATCGTATAGTACCCCAGGGTTCTCCCTACGTTGCGCAAACGGGGCGCGCGCCCCGTTTGGGAAAACTCCCCCCTGTTTCAATCGTTGCGCCCCGTTTAAATTACCTCCGCCCCGATTAAATTCCACCACAATAAAAGTTTGCCAGCGCGGGAATAGATCGTCAAGAATTCCCACTCGACCAGGACAACCGGCGCGTGTATTTTTACCGTACCACGCATGCACTGCAGAGGGGGGGGGAGGGGCTCAATGGGACGGAAATAGAGCCTCGTAATAGACTGGTTCAATTTTCCAATTTTTTATTTCATGAGGCATTTTTGAGGAAAAGCAAATTTTTCAGTGGGTTTTTCTGGAGCGGATTTTCGTGCTAAATATGAAAAATTTGTTTGTGTTTCCTATATTTGCCACTATTTTTTCCTATATTTTCCTATATTGGTCACTAGTTGGGGTCAAAGGACAATTAGTGCAAAATTCATATTTTTACAAAATATGTTTTCTTTCCCCTCCCTAATATAGATATGAAAACAAATTTTCAATATATTTCATTATAAACGCTACACAATTTGTCAAAGTTTAGAAATTAAGGGAAAACATTAAAGAAGTATTCACGTCATTTGCAAATATCTCCTTAACGGTTGGAATTTCTTTTTTTGCCATATTGGTTGGTTTCATATAGATTTTTTTTACCAATTACCAGGGTTGTCTAGCCGCTCTATATCTGTGGTTCATGGGGACAGGGATATTATGTTTGTATTACATATTTTTGTTAATTAGCCTGCTAATTAAAGTCAATGGTCAATTAGTGCAAAATACAAATTTTCATGAAATTTGTTTAGGCTCGTTTTGTCCTTCCCTATACAAATATCCAAGGTTTTTTTTACTTTTCCATATCTAAAACAGTATATCATGCATAAATATTTGAATTAAATGGAAAATGTGAAGGGCATTCTTGAAAAAATTGTTTGTGTTTCCCAAATTTGCCTGATTAATTAACTCATTAATTAAAGACAATGGTCAATTAGTGCAAAAATTCAAAACATGTTTTATTCAACCACCTTGATATAAATATCAAAGTCATTTTTCAATATCTTTCATATTAGGCTCTAGACAACATATCAAATATTCAAAATAAATGGAAAACATGAAAGAAACATTCATTTCTATTCTATACAATACTATTCTATATTATGACGAATATACTATCTCCGTAACGGTTGAACTTTCTATGTGGGTTGTTTTCAGATTTTGTGGTCAGATTTTTCACATCTGTCTCTTCATTGCAATGGTTCAGGAGGGACAGGGATATTTGTTTTAGAGATTTCTGGTAATTAGCCGATAATTAAGGTCAAGGGTCAATTAGTGCAAAATACGAATTAATTAGGCAAATTTGGGAAACACAAACAAATTTTTAATATTCAGCACGAAAATCCGCTCCATAAAAACCTATTTGTTTGCTTTTCCTAAAAAATGCCTCATGGATCTTAAATAAGCAAATTTTTTGGACACATCAGCAATTGCTGCTCGCGATCAATGGACTATAGCTGTATAGCGTGCGCCGGTTCCACGGCGTGAATACGAAGAACCCCCAAGAAACCCTCGTTTTAACCATTACTCTTGATGATCACGCCATCAAAGTGAATGCTCACAATTCATTTACTTTGTCGCAGTATATTTGACCTTTACCTTGACCTTGATCATATTTCCCTCTCGGCCCCTAATTGACCTAGCGTGACCACTTGGTATACTTACACATCTTGGGGAGAAAGTGTGTCGCGTACCGAAACCAGGTCACTGCAACCTTTATTTGACCTTGACCTTGACCTTGACCTTGACCTTCATCATATTTTCCTTCCGCTCTCTAACTCGGTCCCTAATTGACTTAGTGCGAGCAAACTTCGTATACCTTACTTACACATCTTGGGGAGAAGGTGTGTCGCGTACCAAAACCCCTAAGGCAACCAATTTTAACATACTTGCACATCTCGGGCAGATGATTTGTGTAACAAACCTTTGTCTTTGTGACTTATTTAACTTTACCTACCTTCTACGTCCTTACAGAGATATTTCATTCATACTAGATCACGGGGGATTCATGTAGTTGGCGATAACTGCCCTTTCTAGTTTTATATACTACTATATATTACTATATATTACTTACTATATATTTATGTGTCAGTGTGCAGCAGCTAGCGTGCGGCAGCCAGCGTGTGTTGCAGATGAGCATTTGGACGGCATTTACAGGAAATTGTCGGCAATAATAGGTGAAAGAGCGTAGAGAAGCATTAAGACTGGTAGTAAATAGATTCGTATGTATTTAGCATTATATTTTATTGAAACTGCCTGTGATTCATGCATGGCAGCTGAATTATGGCCTCAATTGGGACGGCCAATTGCTCAGAATTCCAACATTCCAATATTTTTGTCTAGAATGTATAACCATTGGGACAAATATGATAAAATACGTTTTGTATTCACAATTATTAGAAAGACCATGTCAGCAATTACTGTGTTTGCAGAGTTTACCATCATTAAATGAAACTGTGGCAAAAGGTGATTATCGGATTTCCTCTGTGGTAGTATGGGCATGTTACTAACTTTCATAGTTTCATAATTTTCATAGTTTCAAGGCCCATATACTCACTTGTTATATGCACAATATAATTTATACGTGTGTTATTGTGATTCGTTATAAACTAGTTACATTAGTTGCAGGGAAAAGACATATTTAACGTGTGCTGTGTCTCAAAATTGAACCAAAAATCTTTAGCTTTAGCAGTAGTTGGTATAGTGGTATTACAATGATGCTAGATCACGCCTAGCATTGACGGTAGATAATTAGGTTATACAAGTGGAATGCCATTTGTTTCAATGTGTATCCACCCATGCAAATTTATATTCAGAGAGTTGAATTTGCAATGTTATAAAAGCCCGTACTGCCTCCTAGAAGAGTATATGTTTTCAAAATGGCTGGTTTGTAAAGACAAATAAAATTATTTTTACTGTTTTGTCTATAAATAATTTTATTGTCACAATATTATTGTAGTTAATTACAATAAATGCATATATTCTCTCTAGGAAAAACAAACAATAGGTAAGAACAATTTAACCCTAATTTTACCTGTCGGTGGTCATTGCCTACTTTTTTTTATTTACATTACACCATATGTGAAATTTTGATATCAATACAGTTGCATCTATTGATATTAGTATACTAACAAAATAATCGAGTTAATGCAAGTCACATCCAACGAGACAATCTCATTCCTAGGCCAGCACTTGTCAGATCTTTGTGGGCCAAGCACTAGACAGTGTAATCAAATGAAGTGCACAAACAGCCACTTGAGAAGCCAGCCATGCGATTTACTTGTATGGTTGACATAAAAATCCATACGAAAACTAGTAATTTTCATACAGCCTATATTTTGCAAACGTTTCTACTTTCTATTGCCGTTCTATGTGAAATATTTATTACATAAATTAGCCTTATGAGGTGCATACACATACTACAGTTGTATTATTCTGTACCGCCGCCAACCTACAAACCATCTAGAATTGCTCTCTAGAATGTTTATGGTTGAACCCGCCATGTACACCGACAGATTGCAGATAGGATTGTCACAAAGTACTTCAGATAATTAATAAATTAATATCGAAGGCTGCACTTTCTTTAGCCATCGTTTCACCTTAGACAGGCACACTCGGGGAGCGATCACGATGCGAATGTGCTGTGACACGGGAAATCAAGTTGGCACAAGAATAATGACCCATTACCACCAGCCGAAGCGCCGCTTCTTCTTATCGGTTTTCTTGTAATCTGCCTCGCTCTCCTCGTACTTTATGTCTCGCTCGTAACCTTCGACGATGTCAGATTCTTCGACCCTCTTGACGAGTGTCTGTGGCTGCTGAGGAAGGCTGCGCATGGCGACATCTAGTGGCACAACGTAGAGCAGGTCATCGTCGTCTGCCTGCCTCAGGAGGCAGAAACTTTGTAGCAGCTTGACGGACTCAAGTGAATCGAAAATCACACCAATGCCGGCGTTCTTTCTCACCCACTCCTCCACACGAGATTCCAAAACGCCCGCAGGGATCCCGCCTGCAAGTGACCGAGTAAACAACGGTAAAGATTCAGGAGTCTGTTTCTGTTATGAAACAAAAGTATCTTAGAAGACAGGTTAGATAAAATGTTTAGCTATACCTAAAACCTAAAACTTCCTTCCACAATTGATTTTGGGTCGAAAACCCAAGTAAATTTGGCTATAAACACAACAAAATACAACAACAGGTTTCGAGACCATTGACGGCATAACTGATTAAAAATTAGGTGGTAGATATTTTAGAAAGCTAAACAACAGTTTGTGGAAATAGATCCTATTGGAAAGCACAGTAGGCCTTTTAAAGTTATCAATACACTATATGTCCCTGTAAAGTCTGCTCTTCCCAGTGTCCGTGAATTCATTTCTAATGCACACATTACTTTAACAGTATCATAAAAATCACATGTTAAGAAATCTGGAAAGAAGCAGTGCTAGTTGTCACATAGAGAGTAGATATAAATTCCAGATCTTAGGGTGTGTTTGTTTGGGCAGATCATATGATCCGGATCACAAATTGCTGACCCTGCTGGTGAGGTGGATTGGAAGTGGATATCCAATATGGTGGCGTGCAACTCAATCACTGTTTGTTGTTAGTTGTGATAGGTTACAGAGACAGGTGATGCATTGGAGGTGAATTTGCATTTGTTTGGACAGATAAGGATCAAGGGGTCCGTCTCAAACAATCAGGCCCTTATATTCACGCGCTGCACAATGTGCAGACGTTTAACTACCATAGTCTCCAGCAGGTGGCACTGCACTCTGTGCAGCTGATGGCGGTCGTTGTTTCAGCAAGAACGCGTAGCACAGAAGGGCTTCTTTGAAGGTCTCATCTTCTGCTCTGTCCACCAGCAGTGTTAGAAGACTACGGTTGTTTGCTGAATAACGAGATGAAATTACAATAGTTAATAAAGTGCATAAAAAGACAAGAAAGCACATTAGCATAAGACACCAAGATTAACAAATTTAATTGATAACTAACTTAAATAATAATACTTATCATTTAAATTAATTACTCTTGGTAGATTTTGAAGTAGCTCAGTACGCCACCTGAGCCAATTGTGATCTTGCAATACATGATCGTTTCTTGTAGCCACTCGCAACATTTATACCTACACTCATAAATGTACACCGCCGGAATTTTGTGCCAAACAGTGGGGCACTGTAGCATGTAATTCAGTAAAAAAATTAAGTTGCTTGTCAAAATAGCTACCCCAGAACTGCAGGCTCAATGTTAATTTATACAACACTCATGGTTGCAACTGCTGCCACTAACACCACTGCGAGAACGTATTCTGCCAATTTACATGTGCTTTTACCTATGTTCTTGAAGTATAGCATTCTAGAGAGGTCTACAAGGTAAGCACTGTGGCGATTCTTGTACACAGTCCACGATCTGACGGCTCCAAGACCGAACACTACAGCCATGATCAGAGTCCACTCGATCTGCGGTCATGTTAAACATCTCACAATTTCTACACTCTAAACAGTTATACCATTTTGATTCTAGAAGAATGACATTGTTTGCATGTAAGGAATAGAAATATGTTTGCCTAAACGTTAGTTAGGTCCAAATCCTTCAGGGGCGGATGGCAGCAGATCCATAGATTTTGGAGAAAAATAAAAAAAATCCTAATAAATGTAAAGAACCTTAAAATACACATACAAATTAATAAAACACAATTATCACTTCAGCCCAATTTAGCTCTACACGCGGTTCATTTTAGGAGAAATAATTTCCTTGTCATTACTCAGCTCAGTCGAGAAATTTTGCACCGCCTTCAGAATTTGCTCAGGTTACAGCACCAAATAAAGCACGATCATTACCGTTACGCATGTCATCAGTAATTAAATTCTATCCTCGTTAGCGCAAACGGCCGAACGATATACCGAGGCCGTGCGCCGACCAATCGAGCGCGGCTGTTTAGCATACATACCTGATAATGTGCGAGCCACGTGATGAGCTTTGCGAACACGCCGAGCGCGCTGCAGCCAAGCATCGTGTACAGCAGTGTGCGGTCAAAGTTGCTCATCTTCACCTGACCGTCGGGCAGCAGCTGCTCGAGCGCGTTGCACGGAATCTCCTTGAACGCCTTCAGCATCAGCTTGTCGTCCGTCTTCAGACGCGTCGCCGCGACGACGCGCTTGTAGTAGTCGATGTTCGGTGGCGCCCTCGTGCGGCGGAGGAACCTCTGCGCGAGTCGCTGCAGGCGCGTCACCTCCAGCTTCGGCGTCTCTTTTCCCAGCGCCCAGAATTTCATGACGTCGTATCGGTCGGTGTTGACGCTCACCTGGAAAACGGGATCTTGAAATTGCCACGTGAATAAATGCCAAATGAAATGATAATGACACACACGCGCGCGCGCACCCGGCCACACGCACGTACGCACGCACGCACGCACACACACGCACACGTTCACGCACACACGTACACACAAACACGCACACGTCCTCGCCCACACAAGCACACGTTCACACACCATTTTCGTTTACTGTAAATACATCCTCAACTAAAAGTAAGAGATAAATGGTTAAACGGCCCATCCTCAATCAGACCTCACCTTTAACCGTCTGGAGGACGGGTAATAGCTAGTATATATAATATATATTATATATATATATATAATATATATATATATATATGTACAACACCTAAAGCTTCCTCCTCGGCATGCGCTTATCCGTGACGCCCTCTCGTCGCGACACATGCTCGTCCAGCGTACGGCTGACTAGTGTCGCCGGCAGCTCGTGAAGTTCGCCTTGTCCATGACGACGGCAAGCTTCTGTAGCAACCAGAACTCGGTGTCGAAGCGCTGGGCGGCGGTTCAGCTTCGGCTGCCGACGGTGTCCTTGTCTGGATTGATCGGGTCGAACAACGTCTGCAAGACACATGTATGTAGGGTCAACTAACGTTGAAGAAAGAGAAAGAAGAAGAAAAGAAGAAGGCTACGAAAAGAGATGTGTAGCGGTATGGGCGTGAGAGAGATCCAGAGAAGAAATACTTGCTGATATATGAGGTCAGATTTTAATGCGATAAGAAGGCGTTTGAAAAAAGATGTGTGATCGAGTCCGTCTAACGTACTGCTGGACGTAATAATTTAGGAGCAGCGAAAACGAGTTTTCGTGGACTAGCATTTCAAACAATATACATTATTCTATAAAATGCCGAGCAAGTTGCAAAATGATTATTCTATACCTCTCCTCCTCCACATTTGCAAGTTTTTAGATTTACCAACGCCGAAAAAGTTATTATTGTGATGATACGGTTATTACGTTATATTTACTACGAATTACGATTACGAATTACTAGATTTGCAGGTCGAAAATGCGGCCAGAGATTTTAGCATTGGTGAAAGCATGGTATGCAAGCAGTAAGCAGACATACAAAGAATGTTGGAAAGGTGGATTATGATATTAGAAATTACAAGACATTAAAAATCACAGGAAATGGCACGAAACTTCATGGTGGGAAGGATACAGTAGTTCCGTAACGCATGCAGTGAGTAACAGGAGTACTGTCGCAGGTGCATGGTGATCTGAGAGGCGTGCGCGTAATTCCCGCGTGGCTATTAAGCGGCGTCAATTCCCCGCGTCTAAACGCATCACCGCGTGCGTCATCGCGGCATATAACGAGCGAGCGGGAAGAGAGAGAGAGAGAGAGAGAGAGAGAGAGAGGAGAGAGAGAGAGAGAGAGAGAGAGAGAGCGAGGAGAGAGAGAGAGAAGCAGAGAGAGAGAGAGAGAGAGAGAAGAGAGAAGAGAGAGAGATAGAGAGAGGGAGAAAGAGAGAGAGAGGGAGAGGGGAAGAGAGAGCGACAAAGGCGGGATGAGAGAGGGGAGAGGGGGAGGGGTGGACGAGAGAGTGAAAGAGAGAGCGCGAGCGAGAAATAGAGAGTACGCAAGCGAAAGAGAGAGACAGAGAGAGTGTGTGTGAGAGAGAGGAGAGAGAGCGCGCGCGGCGAGAAAGAGAGTGCGGGTCGAGCGAGAGAGAGAAAGAGAGAGGGGGGGGGAAGGGAGAGTGACAAAGGCGGAATGAGAGAAGGGGAGAGGAGGAGCGGTGGACGAAGAGCGGTGAGAGAGAGTGCACGAGCGGAGAGAGAGAGGAGAGAGCGGTGCGCGTTGAGCGGAGAGAGAGAGAGATGAGGGCATAAAGGGAGAGAGAGCAAAATGGCGGGATGAGAAGGGGAGATGGGTAGACGGTGGACGAGAGAGTGAGAGAGAGAGCGCGAGCGAGAGAAAGAGAGAGTGCGCGAGCGAGAGAGAGAGAGAGAGAGAGAGAGAGAGAGAGAGAGCGCGAGAGAGAGAGGAAAAAAGACAGAGAACAGAGAGAGAGAGAGAGAGACAGAGAGAGAGAGAGAGAGAGAGAGAGAGAGAGAGAGCGAGAGAGAGAGAGAGAGAGAGAGAGAGGAGAGAGAGGAGAGAGAGAGAGAGGAGCGAGCGAGAGAGAGAGAGAGAGAGAGAGAGAGAGAGAGCGAGCGAGAGAGAGAGAGAGAGAGAGAGCGAGCGAGAGAGAGAGAGAGAGAGAGAGCGAGCGAAAGAGAGTGTGAGAGAGAGACAGCGAGAGAGGGCGAGAGAGGAGGCGTGGCGACGATGATAGGTGAAAGAGAGGAGCTGATATGACGAAGGATAGTCGGAAGAGGAGGGAAAGAGAGAAGAGACGAGAAGAGAGAGAGATGAGAGAGATAGAGAGAGAGCGGCGAGACGGCGACAGGAGAGAAAGAGATCGAGGTAGTTAGAATAATTAAGAAAGCGCTGTCGTGCGGCAATTACAGCGTCCAAATGAGCCGTGATTGCGGCAGCATCCGTCACGGTAGGATCTAGGCGGTGTTGATTTTTGCGCGAGCGTCGCGCGAATGTGTCTTCGTTAGACCATTAGCTGACTAATTAGGTTCCCTTACGCATCGTATTGTGTCACTAATGGCGCGCGAATAAGGTTTCGCGCGCAAACGTCTGCGTAATGGAATAGGCCCGCTTAGAGAGACAGGTGATCAGGAAACAGGAACCGCCACGGCGGGAGAAAGCACTGGGAGGGGGTCAGGAGTGCAGCCGGAGGAGA